ACTGATGATTCCCACCCTTAGCCGCACCTTTATACTGTCTGTGTTTACAGCTAAGGCATAAAACACCAATAGAACGATTTCTTCATATTCTTCCTTCTATGACTTTTCAAAATGTCGCATGGTTTGTATCATATTAGCAGCCCTACTATCTTCCCATCATAACCCAGTCACTAATTCCACTCCAAACTAAAATTCATGGATTACGGACGTCCCATATTTTCCATTGTTCAGACTGGCCGTTTACTCCAGAAATTACGGCCCGCCCTACCAGAAACCGCAAATTATTTATCAATTTAACCCAGTGTGGCCGCCCTGCTTGGGCCGTCCACTTATGATTCGGCTTTCTAATGGAGATGCGGTATTGGCTAACGAAATTGGGAAATCAGACTATGGAATTACGTACCTTTCCTTTGATGACTTCGGGGCCAAAAATAATAAAAACGCTGCTACCTATATAACAGCACAAAGCATAATGATGAAATAACAGTTGCCAGAAAGCATCAAGAAAATTGCAGTTTTACGGACCGAAACATTCATTTTGCGACTCATTTCCCCCTTATTTTTCAGAAAATAAACTTATTTTTCTTCCATAGATTTTTCAGTTAATTTTCCTCCATTCAGTATCATTTCCATTACCTTTTTATTATATTTTATTCTGTAAAAACCTATAACCAATCTCGTATCTTCTGTGCAAATAAGACTATCTTCTTTCTAACTATACGGGCTTACCAGAAGAAAGGCCCTACCATCCTAAGCCTGAGGAGCAAAACTGTGGTGATTCAACTAAGTTATTAGCTGCTGGTCAACCAATGTTGCCTCTTCAGTCCACCAGTAGACCTTATATGGCGGTGGGTTTTTTTTTTTCATTTTTATTTTTTAGCATTTTAAAAAAAGCTCTAACGTCAAAAACATACTTTTCATTGTGTTCTCGAATATAACTCATGAATGTCTCATCGGCGCGGATCACGCTTTCTGGCACAACTTCCCGTACATCCGTTGTTTTGTCTTCCGATAATCGGTCCAGTTCATTGTTAATTTTTGTCATATAATCTTTCACTTTTTCGACACAATCCTCACGTGGATTATCACAAACAATATACCTAAAAACAAATTAAAAGTATATCCGTTTTGATTTCCAACATTTTATTGTGACGCAGCCTTATCTAAATTAATTTTGGATCCTCCGCTTCGCACATTTTATCCACATCTGCATAGCCATCTACGTGTAACGCGCGCAAGAAGGCCGAAGGGCCTGCGAAACTGCAAGGGTTGCTCCTGTAGAGCTGCGAGGGGCTCGCCCAAACCAATA